GCTGGAGTTCTAAAAAGAGGGTCTGGCAAATGAAATGAATGATAATTGGATTTCGAGAACACAGGTCACCGCTTCCCTTTGTTTTTGGCTTTAGATTTTGGAGGATCGGTAGACTTCAGCATTTTCTGTTCCGCCAAAAGAGAACTTGCCGCATTGTTTATGTGCTTGAAGCGGTCTGGACCGAGTTTTATTCCTCCAAACCACCGGGAAACCTGGAGGTAGGGGTGTTTGGGGTAAAATTCAGAGTCCAATTTTAATAGTAAAGCAATCTTAAAATCGGACAGCTGAGTACAGTCAGCCCGACAAGTAGGAAATACTGTCATTTTATTTGCCGCGGGTCCTTAAAGGAACTGGGCTTCCGGATCGATTTTCAGTACATCTTCAGACACACAACAGCATCAACAAAATAAGCAGATAAAATAGCGAACTAGCTAATTGACCCAGTCTTGTGCTATGATGGATTCCCTGTTTCTAGCGGTCAACTATTCGAACGAGCCTTTCATGGGTCCCTTTATGTGCTAGGCTAAATGATGCACAGAAATGGGTAAGGTGGGCAGAACAGATATTGAAGAGTATTCGATTATCAAACACTGAAACCTATACCGTTAACCGGTGGCTCATTAATGACGGCCGAACTAGAGGCAGTGTGAACCTTGTTTACTAGGATCGGACTTGTAAATGACGATATCCGAATAGAAATTCACGTAGTCCGAATCTTAAATAAGACCTTTTGCAAATTGAAAGGAAACTGACTGTCGATAAATTCAAAACTGTCAAACATAACTAGATAATTCGTGCACCAGAATAACTGGCACAGATAAAAAGTATTATACATATCTGAGGAAGACCTGAGGGGTCTGCTACTTATGGAGCACCTTGCAGTACTTTTTATTAATGTTGTTGCTCTTGGTAAATAAATTTAAATAACATGATAGAACATTCGAAAAAGTGGGTGACAACTTAACAAGTGCGGAAAAAAACCTGGATATTCCGTAAAACAACTTGCTATACCGCGAAATATTACTTACATAGCTTTGGAATGCTACCAATTGGCACAACAGTTGCGCCAAAAGACGCTTGTTATGCTTTACTAAAAATAGGTGATCAAGCAATGTCAGCATACTCAAGCGGCAAGGACAGGACTACTTATTTCTAATGTCATTTCAGTGTCAGCCTGTAACATCACGCCATAATGGGAAATATTCTTGATCACTGTGAAGATTAACTGATCACAACGGGTTTTAAACAACTGGCTAATAACTAACACCGTCTCTAGGTTTTTGGGCAGGGTTCTACAGATGGAGATTTCTGCCATACTGAGTAAAGTGTTACATGGAGGTCGGTGGTATCTTATTTTTTTCTAGCCCACAAGCACTGTGTGAGTAAACTGGTAAACGAGAGTTGGAAGTCTAATCCTCTTGAACAACAGTACATTGACCAGTGATTAACGACACATAAAACACTCAAAAATGTGCTTGATCTTAGGATACAAGAAAAACATTTATCAGCCGTTGTGAGATATTCTGGAAATGCCATTTTATTATTATTATTATTATTATTATTATTATT